GAGGATGGGTGACCTGGTGTCTTGTTGTGTGTCGTTGAACTAGGTGTGTCCCCCCGCCCCCCCTGGGCTTCTCGAATCATGTGCTGAATGTGTTGTAGCCGTGGTGTGGTGACCCCAGGTCGGAGGTGTTCCACGAAAAAAATGCAAGAGCATAGGTGGGGCCGGAAGAACCTGCCGTCAGTGATGCTAATGGATGGCGTGACTGAAAGCAAAGCACAACAGTAGTGTGTGGCAACCCTGTGCTCAGCAGGCTGTAGGATACCACAGCATGGAGAGTGCTGTCTGGTATTGTACATGGGTGCAATGGGATAGATGCATGCGTTGCCATGCATGGGGCCGTAACGTTGTTGTTGTTGTTGTTGTTGTTTTTGTTGTTGTCTACACACGTAGCGCGGAGGGTAGACTATGTGTGAGGACCCAGGGTTAGAAGGGCCGCTCCGTGGTGTAAAGAGAGAGTTCCCTACCTGCTGAGCTGAGGCATAAACCCTCGGCATCAGATGTGTGCATTGTTAAGACAGAACTGGCCCAAACGATACGCCAGAAGCCGAGCGTGCTCAAAACCAATTCGAATTCCTATTTCGTTACATAGGACATCATCTCCGTCCATGGGCGATAGTCGAGAGTCGCTATTATCTGTAGAGCTGAGGGCATCTCCTCTCCTTGAGTGCAGAGAGAGGCCAGCGAACGTCAAGCGCCGCTATCGCGTCCTAAAAGTGAGTGAGCGGTGCTTGTGTGTTGTAATTTAATGCGTGGGAACGAGTCCGTCACAAACCTCGCGACAGCCACCTCATACCAGCCACTGGTCCAAAGATTACGTCGGCCGGTAGAAAGAGTGTGACTGTCGTGAATACAACGTTTCTACGCACCTCTTGCCAAGAAGAGGCCGCCTACGACCCCGCTGTTGCGCACGGGGGGCTCGAACACGCTGAGAGTGTCGTCCGCGAGGACTGCGGAGAATTTTTGCGGAAGCGAAGGTGGGCGGTACGGGGAGGGGGGGGGCGGCGGGGGGGGGCGTGCTCAGTGACAGGCAAAGTCATAGATAGATCTCGGATGATTACGCATCCCTATCTTCGGACCGGAACGCAGCACATCAGGCCGCATTGGGAGGGGAGGGGTGGGGCTTCAATAACGGGAGGCTCGGATAGTCTCGAGTTGCCAGGGGTCTGTAATGAAGGGGGAGGTATTCAGACTGTGCCTGCAGGCCTGGGACAGTGGAATGGGACGGGTTTCTGTCCACCAGGTCGAAGTGCCTTAGGGCCTAGTACAATGGGGCTCTGATTGTGTTGGTGGCGAGGCGTCGTTGAAAGGGGAATTGCAAGGGCGGCGGCTCGCTACCATGATGTTTCGTGCACAAGTGCTTTCGCTACTATCCTATTTGTGTTCGGGTTGGCCAAGTAATTTTGCGGAGAATATCACCCTAGGATGACGAGATTCAGTAAAAACAACCATCATGTCTAAACCGAAACTGGTGATGGCAAACAAACGTGATGTCATCTATTCTGCATACAGCCTGGAGTGTCTCGGGAGGTATTGCAACCTGCAATGTATATCGTTCACTCACAGTAGTTGATGACAAAGTCCCTCGTTTTATCGTTGTTAGTGACGTTCCGAAGCTTAGCCTGGAATCGGAGGACTTTCTTATCTCCCTTAAGGAACCTGCCAATAGAAAGAACGCCGTGGTCAACGCAACCATCAACTTACTTTTCATGCGTGACGCATAGGACACGACACTCTGAAAATATGCGATCGTGTCGTACGGTATCTTGACATGACGAAACAGATGAGAGTCAACACAAATGACGCGTTCACAAATAATCCAACACCTGGGCCCCTGGCACTACACAGCCACGGAGCCCCCTACCTGTCATACTCCTCCTGGTTGACGTCTTTGGAAAGCGGCTCGAGCGACAGCCCCATGGCGTACAGGTCATCTTCGTTTCCGTACCCGTTGTACGCGGGCGTTAGCACCTCCGTGTGGTCCTGCAAGGAAGGGCGAGCATGACGGCAACAGAGGCATGGGTGGATGTCAAACAGGGCTAGCTCCTGGAGATTTCTGCTTTCCCTCCGATTTACTCCGTCCGTCATTGAGTCATTTTACATGGAAAGGTGAGGACTGCGTTGAAAGCATGTGTTGGGAGTACTCATCGTAGCGTAAAAACGTCATTCACTGTACCGATTCAGCAACGCTGTCGTAAAATGTAGTATTGTAGCACCCCCTCAAGGACAGGCCCCTTGGAGTCGTTTTCTTCTACTCACCTCGACTTCTCCCTGGCTGACCGTGAGCGTGCGCTGCTTCACCCCCCGCCGGGAGTACCAGTCCTTGGTGCTTGAGTCGCAGGCCATCAGCAGCAGGTGCCGGCCGTAGACGTTGATCGCCTCGCCGCACCGGAGGTCTTCCCACGTCACGCTGCTCACGCGTTCACGCTGGGAGGCGGTACGTGGTAGGGGGCCGGGGCGTGTGTAGTGTGCGTGAGTTTATTTAGCTATTGTTGCATCGACCGTGCTAAAGACGGCCTGACCAACGACAGAAAGTCGGTTATTTACAAACGGACAAAAACTGCGCCAACACTTTCGTCCGCCTCCCCGCGCGCGCGCATGTGTGTTTTCTAGTTGGCATAAACGGTGGCAATCGCCTGAGCAACGACAACAAGTTCTTCTTAGCCGGGCAGAAAGCGTGGGTGTGTGAAAGGAGGGAACCGTCCTCGGCAGATAGACGTTAAGGAGATTTGACCTTTTCAAAGGTCATCTCCACGCGTGCGTGTGTTGCTTTTTCCTGCGGTGGTTGGCTGAAAGAGGTTGCTAGTACCCAGCAGGGGGGGTTCTGGCCAGAGAAGGGTGACGGGGGTGAAATCATTAGGTAGAGGGGTGAGGG